GTGAAACTTCTTAAAGGATTCCGGAGTTAAACTGATAGTTCCATATCACACCGGTGAACTCCACACCTCCCATGCTCACGCACATGCACACAGACGAGTGTTATGACCACAGAGGCATATCCAGAGATGAGAGTGATCCAGGATGTGGCCACATACCCCTGTCTGGCAGACCCAGAAATGTGTGTGTGTGTGTGTGGCGAGCACGTGGCAGTGCTGGCAAGATGTAGATCCAGGGAAGCCGGCTGCAGGATGGAAAATTTAATTAAATCCAAGTTTTTACGCATCAGTTTTCCTCCACTTTCTTTGCTTCAGTCTTTTTTTTATTCTATTCCTTCACTTTCTAAACCATTCAGCTCATTCAGTCTTTCTCTCTCCCCACTCTGTCATCTCCTCTAAACTCTGGCTCTCAGTCACTATGAGTGGGCCGGCCCTCCTGCTTTTCTTTTGCTCTCTCTCGCTCGCTCTCTCTCTCTCTCTCTCTCTCTCTCTCATTCATTCAGGTGTCTTTCTCTTTATCACTTCTTCCTGCCTGTATCTATTTGCTGCTCAACAGTTAGCTATTCTTTATCTCACTTGCATACTCTCATATGCCTATTTCTACTCTTTTTAAATAACCCACAAAATCAAAATCAGAGTTTTGTTGCTTTTAGTCAATGTCTGTTACCTACGAGGTCATGTTCAAGCCAGTTTACACCTAATAATCACTTTTAACACATTTACAGACACAAAATGTACACTCTTTTTCTTTCGGAATACTCACTATAAATCCTGATGACTCATCCTGCACTGCACAGAATTCCATCCAATCAGATGCTCCCTAGAAAGAGAATGCCCCGCCCTCTAATACAAACTGCAACTCATTTTCAGCAATCTTTTTTTTTTGAACCCTTCTAAACTTTTTTTTTTTAATTGACACGGTGACTTTTTTATTGACTTAGACTTATCTAATCCTCTTTTTTGTTTTGTTTTGTTTTTTCAAATTACATTTCTAAAATAGTCACCAAGTTTAAAAGAAATCAAAATGACTGAAAAGCTTACAAGGGTTAAAAAAAAAATCCCTTCAATATGTAATTAACTTACTCAAACCAAAACTGTAGGCTAAGGCTTCGTTTTCTTTTTGCCATCTCTATCCCTCTGGCTCTTTTTCTTTCTTTATCACAGTCATCTCTACAGGCTCTTCCATCAGCCCTCATTACTGTCTGCCGCAGAAAAACTTTTGCCTTTTACCCCTCAGAGCTCTCCGATTTCTGCATTATCTAATCTTTCCATTTCATTTTCTTCTTTTTCACTCAATCCATCAAGCAAAAGACATGAAAAGAAAGAGTCTGAAGCCACCAGACAGTACTAAAAAAGTCCATGTAGTCCAACAACATGTTGTGGCTCCGCTGAAACCTGCCAGAGTCCCCAGCGGCTCTGAAAGACCATTCGACTGTGTGCGAAACAGGAATCAACAGAGCAATGCAAAAAACCCCCCGCTCTCTAAAAGTCCCCTCAGAGAAAGACCAAAATAATGGTTCCGGTGGCAAACACAATGAGCCAAAAAACTCCAAAAAGGACAGAAAAACAGTGCATATTGCTTCTAACTAAAAAAAGCACAAATGGAGGAATGACCATTATGGGAAAGAAAAACCAAAAGACTGAGAGAAAAACCCAGAATGGCAGACAAAAACACAGGGTGCCAGGCACCTCACTGCAGCTGCTCTCTGAGGCCAGACTAAAACAGCTGCTATAAAACAACACACAAACACAATCACACCAACACAACACAAGACACGCACAGTAGCATATCATCTATTAGGTCACATATTGACACTAACACACACACATCCGTGGAAAATCTCACCCAACAGGCAGGTCTCTGGTGTGTGTGTGAGAGAGGCAGGCAGCTGGCCATCGATGAGATATTTCCTTCTCATTCAACTCCACAAAACACACACACACACCTGAGATCCGTTACAAATGAGGATGGACTGGTCTTACCTGACGCACTGTTAGACGTGTACCAGCACGACAACATACAGCCAGAACATGTACACAACAATACATGCAGCACAACACACACACGATTTATCAAGCCAGGTGAAGCTGTCATGAATAGACTGAAGATTAAGTCATTCTGAATCATATAAATGCCTCATATTTTAGGTTTACACACAAAAGATACTTATGACCTTAAATATCCTTTTGTGTTATTATGAAAGCATGCATGGAAAGCTTTAATGGAGGAAACACACATATACACACACACACACGCCTGAGGTGTGTTGGAGATGAAGACACATAAGCTCTAGTAATTAAATATGAATATCAAGACTTCCTGCAGTCTAATCTGAAGCTCATCCTCCTTTTCCTCACCCCTGTATGAACTAAACAGGACAATAACAATAAGAAGCAAAAAAAGTGAGAGAGATCTCAGTCTCGTATTTACCAAAGACAAAAAAGTCTGTGATTTAAAGTCAATATGAACTTACTTCGTCTAAATTTTTTCCCATAAGAATTTATGAGCTATGCAATTCCAGAAGAAAATTTGTATTGCTCTGTGGTTAGTTTTTTTAAAGCCAAGAAAACGAAAAAAAAAAAAAAAAAAACGTAACAAAGAAGATGGA